ATTGTTGAGAGAACTTGCACTAGTGAAAGTATGAACCTTAGGCCTTGTTTCCTAGCATTGCAATACCGTTTACACTCAGTTTTATCGCTTGCTACCTTGCCGTTTTTATATTTTCAAATTACAAATACTCATATCTATCATCCATATTGCACTTGTATCACCATCTCTTCGCCGAACTAGTGCACCTATACAATCTACCATTGTATTGGGTGTGTTGGGGACACAAGAGACTCTTTGTTATTTGGTTGCAGAGTTGCTTGAGAGAGACCATCTTCATCCTACGCCTCCTACGGATTGATAAACCTTAGGTCATCCACTTGAGGGAAATTTGCTACTATCCTACAAACCTCTGCACTTGGAGGCCCAACAACGTCTACAAGAAGAAGGTTGTGTAGTAGACATCAACTATAAGCTCCAAATCTCACAAGGAGAACCAAACAAGAACCAAGAAAGATGATGCAAGTATGCAATGGTTTCAGCTCTCTACTAATGATACAATAAAGCTACTCATCGAGAGCCCCCTTGATAGTACGGTAATCGGTCCTAAGGCCCGGTCTCCCAACTACCACCATGAGATCGGTAAAATAGAAAACCTCTCAGGGGCAAACCTTTGCCTTGCACATGGTCCACTTGAGCTAGATGATGACGAACTTGTCCTCCTCAAGATGGACCACCTTTCTTGATTGCGTTGGGTCGATGAAGACTAGATGATTGCTCCCCCATACTTCACTATGGGTGAGCCACTCTTCAGCACATCTTCACAAGTCCATTGACACCAAAATGGACGGCAAGCTTCAAGCATTTGGTCTCTTCGAGATGCTCCACTTAAACTTGCACACGACAATCTTGATGACGATCACCACTTGATGTTTCTTCTCCATGGGTTGAGTGATATCTTCCTCTTGACGCAGGCCCATAAACACATACCAAACCCCACATAGAACTCTCACATAGACCATGGATTAGTACGCAAAGCACAATGGACAATGCTTATCATAACATGGGATCACTTGATCCCTCTCGGTACATCTTCTACGCTTTGTGAGTTGATCAACTTGATTCACTCTTGACTTAGTCTTGATCAACCTTGAATCTTTCCAACTCTCTTCATTTGGATGATATCTTGAAGTAAACATGAATGATCACACAATCTCTTTCTTGAAGACATGCTTGCAATAAGCACAACACTCACATAACCAATCTTTGGATAATTCCTTAATAGCACCTTGGTCAACACATAAATTCCTTGAAACCAACACATGGACCTCAAGAAGAGCCTATGGACAAGCCCTTCAAATATAACTCAATGCAACCATTAGTCCATGGAGAGTGTCATCAATTACCAAAACCACACATGGGGGCATCGCATGTCCTTTCAGTGGCGATGTGGGAGTGGAGGGAAGGCCTTCGTTTTGTAGGTGGGTACTGCGTTCATGCGGAGGGAGTTGATTTGAGCGAGGGTATTTTTGGAAAGTAGAATTTTTTTGTAAGGTTATGAGATTTACACCGGGAACGCTTAAACGACATATATTTGGGAAGGAGTAATATAAGTTGTACATCTTGCATGTACATGTGGATTATTTTTCTAAACACGTTTGAACATTTTTTAAATACTAGACGAAGTTTTTCTTTCAAATACACATTTAAACATGTTTTCTAACATATTTTAACTATTTTTCAAACATATGTTGAATATTTTTCTCAACGAAATAAATTTTGTTTATTAAACCAGACAAATATGTTTTTAGTTGTATCAACATTTTTGTTACTAGCAAGATGCACGTGCATTGCACGGAACATTAAGATGCATTTTTTTTACAAAACACCTGTTGTGATTGACCCATGCGGGAGTAATCGCATGTGTAAAAACTAATGATATCTCGAGAAAGACGAGAGATAAGGTGAGGAGGAGTGGGGCGTGGTGGTGATTGATGGTCAGACTGAGCAGAGGCATGGGGATGGACGACGCCGGCAGCGGTCATCATGCTAGATTGTTCCAGAGACTTTATTTGTTAATTGCTCAACGATGAGGTTGTGGGAGATAAGGATGAACGAGGGAAGACCTTATCTGCAAATGTGGAGAGAGGTGCGGGTACCTTTTTACAAAATTGCCATAGTTTGCTTTGTATCCGTCGGATATAGATCGGACGGTCTGTATTGTAAGATGGCAGGCACACCATCATCACCAACTCAGCTTTTTATAAGAGTAAGGAAATGCTGGAACATATTTTGAAACATGTGAACGATTATTTAGGAAAAATATGTACATTTGTAAGAGAGACAAAGTGATGCCCTCTCATCCCTCATCTCTTGGAGGAAGACGACAAAGGGCCTTATTAAAAAATTGTGGAATACAGGGCCTTCTTAGGATGCGTTTGGTTGAAGGTGTCATATGAATGGGTTGGGACCGTCCAATTTATTTGGGATTGAACCATTCAATTCATGCGTTTGGCTGAATATAAGAGATGAGCTAATTATTTAGGACGGGACCACCAGTCATGCTCACATAGTCATGCATGCAAAGCGTGGCCATTTGATTCGACCGATTTGGTTGGGTGGAACGATTCAGCATCTTCAAGGCATATTCTCTTTTTTTGACTCGAACCGTTCATGTGCTTTATAACCAAACATGTCTATTTTTTGAACGATCCCAACCCATTCATGACCACCCTTGTAACCAAACGCACCCTTAGTTACTCATGTGACTTACAAACAACAGGGGCGCATCCCACGAACACAACCCACAAACCACAAACCCATATTTGCTGGTTCAAACATCTGTCGAGGTACTCGGGTCAAAAAAAGCATCTAGCCATGTACATGACTGGTGATGTCTTTTAGTGCTCAATTTTTATATGTTATTTATACTAGTAATTGTGTGCATACAATGTATGTTAATGTTAAGCCAATATATTAATTGCATTGCAAATTAATATTTGATGAGATATTAACTGTATGTTGTTGTTAGGTAGGATAAAATTAATTAGATGCGGCCATTAATTAGGGTAGTGTCGGAGCTGGATCCAGCAGATCCCTCAATATGAGATCCTAACTAGGCGACTTGGCTAGATGGGAGCAGAAGCAAGGATTCAGCCAAGTCACCTAGCTAGGATATCCTACCGAGGGGTCAGCCAGTTCCAGCCTCAACGGTGAAAAGAAACATCTTTTCCACTTTGGATCTTTCGCGATAAAAGACGGGTCGAAGATTCGTTTCTGGAAGGGCAACTGACTAGACAATGTCATCCTTCGAGAACATATCCAGCTTTGGTCCACATTGTTCTTGCGCAGGTGCTCAGTTCATTCCTGTCAGATATTTCTTTTAGGCTAGATTTATTGGCTCTCGTCTTATGTCATAGCAAAACCTTTTAACCCGACTGGAATTGATTAAGCTGGCACAATGACGGGATGTGTTTCGTTGAAACCACAATACATCTAGGCCCTTTATGGTTGACTCCATGTACAATGCGCTAATGCATTCAGAGGTTCAAGTGGATAATAACATCAAAAATTGAAGTAAAAAAATCCAGTAAAAGTTCAAACCTTCATGTGGTATATTCGAAGAAGAGTTGTGCTAACCAAAGAAAACCTTGTCCATCACAAATGGCAAGGAAGTAAGAAGTGTAGCTTTTGAACTCACGACGAGGCAATCAGATACCTCCTTTTGCAGTTCAAGTTTGCACGTTCTACATGGCCAATCATCCAAATAGCGTTCAATCTGTATTCGTCAATAAATGTTGCCAATATTTTTGGTCTTCGTTGGACGGTATTTCAAATAGGTTTAGAATGCTAATAGGGGTGGGGTTGTATGCTTTATTATCAGCTCTTTGGCTACGTAGAAATGACTTATTTTTATGGTGAAAAATCTTCTCCTTTGCAGGTTATTTTTGAATGTACGCCCTCCCTACAACAAATGGGGTACCAACTGATGTTCAAAGTGGTCCGTATGCGGTTGGAGTGGATGGCCAAGCAGGTTATTACCCAACATGAGCGGGTGGTCAACCACCTCGTTCAATATAGGCATAGTGTCGGTCTTATATGACTCTATTGTTGCTGACATGTCGGTTTTTTAATTGATTTTTTTTCTATATATTAGTGTTTGAAATGTGCATCTTAATTATGCAGGGATCAGATGTTGCTCATCATGGCTTGTATCCGCTTGATGTCACATTTGAAGATAATAAAAGTATCCTTTATAAAAGGACAAAGATTGCGACAAAGACAACTTCAAATACATAAATACAAACTTTACATATATAAGGCTTCCCTGTAACATATTAAGTACAAACTTATCATGTTTATGAATCAAAATTGGTAAATTAAATTTTGAAAAAATAACATTTACAACTGAGTTTCTTGGTGCAACACTTTATTCAGGATGGATGAATAGACGATGCTATGTGCATGACATGTAGCCGATAAATACTCTGCACCGTCAGATGCATTAGGAACAAAAGTACAGATGGCTGGATGGGACATGTTGTCTGTGTGTCATCTAAAAAGTATCAGCAGCGCTCCACTTTATTCCAAGCGTCATCAAGTCATTAGATTGACCTCCGTCTAATGACTAGCCTGCAGGTTCTTTTTTTACACAACGAAAGAACAATGGTTTTGTCCCCACTCCATCTGCCAGTGCACACAACTAAGACCTCTTGAAGTACTCCCACGGTTGTAAAATAAGGAGTGTTGCTATACACACGACAAACTTGCGGCTGATGCATGGACGACTGTACGTGTCAGCACCAACAGTGCGCAGGAGGCAATTGTTTTTCTTTTGGCTGATGCTTAGAGCTGTTGGGAGGAAGTATCGTTTCCAGGTCGTGCGGGCAGTGTCGTCCGTGAAGCAATTTTGTAAAATAAGTGTCTCAATTTTGTATTAAAGTTAGTATGAATTTGTATTAAATTTGAGACACTTATTTTAAAAGAGAGTATTTAAGAATGATATTATTTTTTTCCTTCCCATCTGTTTGATTTGTTTGGTTGGCAAGACCGCTTGTGAAAAATTACATGATGGAGCAAGCATCAGATTCCTCACAGACGACCACTTGTGGCCCCGACGGGCAGTGGTAGTGGTAATAACCGGGGTAACACTGCAGGGCAGGCACATGCGACTTCTGCTCACACTTTTTGGGCTTCTTCTCATCTGGATCTGGTTTTTTATCAATCACTTCCTCCACCTCTAGAATCACGGCGCGGCCAAGCTTCTTGTGGAGACGGTTGACGAGGCAGACCACATCGACGCCATCACCGACCACCTCAAGTCGGTCGGTATAATCACCAGCTATCTTTATCGAGATCACCCCTGTGCAAGCAAACAATAATTAATATTGTGACTAATGAGTAGAACTTCATACGTTTAGATACATCCGTTTGGACGACAAGTAATTCTGGATGGAGGGATTAGCAGAGAAAGAAACAAGTATCATTGTTCAAATTTTGAGTCATGCACATTACAACATACTAGTTACTGGAAAAGCTAATCATATGTCTTTTTTGTTAGAATAAATGGGCTTGGCTTGCCACATGAAGATTTCTGAAATTCCAAATGTAAATCCCCAAGGCCCATGTATAAATGGCAAATGAAGGTACAATCTTTAGTCCCACCCTGAAAGTGAAGGAGATGTGAGACCAACTTAAATAGCGGAGTCTACCACTCTACTAAATGGTCGGTATAAATAGAGAAAGAGAATACCACACGTGAGTTCTCTTATATATAGAGAGAGCATGTTTTTGAAACATCTCGCTCTTGTGATCCTGCACCGGGGAATTCTACATGTTTTAATCATGATTTCCTATTGGTCTAGTGCATGCTAGATTGTTGCGTGCTAATAATAGTTTAAGTCATGATTTATGTTTTGAAATTAATCATGAAATTGCCTTTTTAAGGGGAAAATAATCATATGTGAAAAGGCCATGAACAATTGATGATTTCATGTAATGGTTTAAATTTGGGGGGCGGGGAGAAGCAGTTGCAAAAATCCCAAGGCAGAACCGAGGCTCTTTTTAAAAAATAATAAATAAGAGAGGCAGTTAGCCTTCGCCTAGTGCCTGGCACTTAGGCAACCTAGGCACCAGGGATGAAAATGGAGTGCAAACTTTCCGCTTTTGTGGAGGAAAAATGAAAATGAAGAAGAAATATGAAAATGAAAACGGAAATGAATTTTTTTATGCGGAAACGGAAACAAAAACGGAACGGTGTTTTCCAGTGGAACAGAAATGGAAACATAACTTTGATTTCCGTGCATACGGAATTTCCGTTTTTAGTATAGGCATATGGTTACTTTGTAGCCCAACGACCAAAACACACACACTGACACAGTGAGCACAACTGATCATTTGAGGCCCAACTTCTACTACCACATACGTACTCAACTAGACCCTATATGCAATTGTCTACTACTACTATAATACTACGCTAAGCGGCAAACATAATTATACTCCCTCGGCTCCATAATGTAGTGTGCATAGATTTTTTGAAAAGTCAATGCTCACAAACTTTGACTAAGTTTGTAGGTAAAAAGATTTACATCTAAAATGCCCAACAAATATCATTAGATTCATCATAGATGTTGTTTCATATTTATTTTTTTGGTATTGTAGATATATGAATAGTTCTCTATAAACTTGTTCAAAACTTATAAAATTTGACTTTCAAAAAAATCTATATGCACTATATTATGGAACGGAGAGAGTATTATTTTGTAGCCATGGTAACATTTCATTTAATTTTGTCTGTTTTTGTGTTTATTTCTCTATGACTCAAGGGCCTTTTAAGTTTCGGTCAACGCCCACTTCCGTTTCCGTTCCCCTCTGTATTCGCTCCATGTATGTTTCTGTCAGTATCTGTTTCCGTATTCATTTTCGGGGTTTCTGTATTCGTTTTCGCTTCTACAAAAAAAATGTGGTAGCACCCAGTTCCGCCAATTTTCGCTCCGTTTTCATCCCTACTAGGAACAACCTAGGTGGACCTACTAGTTTGGCTATCAAGGTGTATCGACATTCATTTTAAGAATAAAGTGAGTAAACTACCATCTATTGAATTGGAATATGACTCATTTGCCTTGTATATGCAATATTACATGATTTCTCCAGGACAACTTATTGCTTGCCTTGTCTAGAGATCCGTTTATGCCCAGACGAGGCATTTGGTCGTTGCCTAGCGCTTCCTAGGTGTCGCTTTCTCCTATAGAGAAAAGTCGGGCCACTCGAACTGGCATGCTCTTCGGCCATGTCATGACAATTTGTTATATGTGAGCATGATACCGCTAAATTGGTTTCGAGATTTGTGCGAGGCATGTACTAGAGAAATCGATTTGGTCTTACAAGATCACGTAGAAACATTACTAAACCAGGCTTTTTTTTTTACAAAAAGAAAGGTACATTTTAATCCTTGTCATTGATTGCATACAAATTTATAAACTTTTCTAGGGGACTGGATTATTGTAATGCCCGGAACTTAGGCATAACAAAGCAAACCTAACGCAAAATCTGTTTTGTCGCACTCTCACACAATATAAAATTTGAAAGTGGCTAGGCCTCAGTCGACCGAGACTTAACCAAATCTAAGTCAAATGACATAACATGTAAGAAAGAAAGAAAACTAAAAGAAAATTTTGCACAGATCTTTATGTAATCCTACGAATATAGCATCGACTGAGACTGGTTTAAGTCTCAATCGACTGAGATTTAGCAGTCCCGATAAAGTTTCCTAGGCTCAGTTAGGCACAATTTACAGTTGCTGGGCTGTGATGCGTATAGAATTAGCCACAAAAACTGTCAAAAGTGGTTCAACAAACCCTAAAATATGCAAAACAGACGAGGCAAACGGGATTATGGTAATCAACGGCAATATCAAACGCAGCCTTAACTTCAACCAGAAGCAAAACAAGCGCATTTACGAGAACCATATAATCCCGTCTCGACGAGAAGTAACGGGCACATAAACGTGTGCAAATGCATACCGGTTGTCTTGGCGGCCAACTCCATGGCTTTGGACCTGCACTTGTCGCAAGGCATGCTCACCCTGATGACCATCCTTTGCTGCAGCTGCAACACAACGAGGACGACAAGAACAACAGTAAGGACAGGCTAAGCAACAAACGGTTAATCATGCACATCTGTCAGTCACTGGCTGCTCAACATGCTGATCAACAAGCAGTAGGATAAGTAAACTGAAGCGCCTTGCCTTCATCTGTAAAAAAAGATGCTGGGGAATGAGTGATGTTTGTTGCGACTTGGGAGATGTTGATCGGCTCGTTCGCGCAGACGCAGTGCAACCAAAAAGGTTGTGTCCTGTGATGTCCTCAGATTACTCTTATATAGGCGTGCGGAGAGAAGTAGCTATCAACTGCGAGTACTGCTATTTTGCTTAAGAAACTAGTAACAGTATGCATTTGAGTATTTAGAGCATCTCTCTAGAAGACTCTTTAAAACGCACGAAACTGTAAAATAACCGTCAGTCTATAGTTTTAGGTGAAAAAATCGACCAAAAAAATTTCATAAATGACTCCGACCTGTAATTTTTTTAAGGGGCACGGTAAAAAACTCCTCCCGATATGTAAAAACACAATTTTCACGTCCACTTCTACGGTGCCTTGTATTGAGAGAAAGCAGTTGGCGGAAGCCCAACTACCACGAAAACATCTGCGTCCGCTGTCCGCGCCCCCTGGCCACCTGCCCGCGTCTCTCCCGACGGAGGAGCTAGCTACGGTGACTCCATCCACTCGAATCGAGTCAGCGCTCCTCCTCCGTTCCCTTGAATCAATTTATCTAGCTCCTGGATTGATTCAGCTAGTTACCGAAAAAGGCTTTCGCCCAGTTTTATATATAAAGCACCAAACCACAAGGACCATGATACAAACTCACGCCACCACCACACACGACACACACGCCCAAAGCAAGATACAAGGGTGCCGGGCACCGCCACACCACCCCAACGACTACCAAGCCACTACAAATGCGCGAAGACGAACTGCTTGGAGCCACCAGAGACCTCCTCCTCCGAGGGGAGGTGAGACGGGAACGACGGAACCAGGACTCCAAGATGGTGCCTCCAAGAAGGGAACGACCACAATAGCCGCCACCATCCGATCCCAAAGATCGGGTTTTCACTCGGAGCAACTCGAAGGAGAAAGGCCACTGCGACGGAGCCTACAAGAAGGATACGGAGTCCACGGACGCCGCCACCGTCGGCCAATACAAGATTGGGCAGGTAATGAACCCCAGCACGCCCACCCCTCCGAAGCAACCTAGCTCCGTCAACCACCAGCGACCACCCACCCGCGTGGCCGTGGCCGCTCGCCCGCACCCGAGGCGCAAGTCCTGCCCACGAACTTCGTGCCTCCCGCCGTCGGGGCTGCCGCCCTGCATCCAGACACCCCCAAGACCGACCAAAGTGATCAGCTTGGGCCAAAGGGCGCACCCGACCGAAGAAACCGTGGCATACATCCCGCCTCGAACAACGCCGGAGTTGCGTCAGCCCACAGATGGCCGGGGAACGGGGGAGGAGGGGGAGCAGACGCATCCGGGCCGGCACACCCCTGTGCCAGCGACGGGTGGCCCGGGCTCGGCGGCGCCTCCCGTCCCTCCAGCCTGCCTCCCCACCAGACAACTCGATGTCGCCCCACCTCGGCGGCGACCGCAGCTCCACGCGAGGCCACCAACATACACCCGCCCGCCGGCAAGGAGAGATCCCAAGGGCCGCCACCAATCGCGAAGGAAGCTCACCGAGGAGCCCATCTGCGCGGCCCACCGTCGTCCAGCCGCCGAAGCTTCGGAACCCGGCCAGCCCGCCCACCAGCCAACCGCTGCCGCGTCGCACCACCACCCTCCGTGGCCATGGCAGGGGCAGAGACTAGCAGCCCGGGCCGCCCTCGGCCCGTGCCGCCAGGTCCCAGATCCGGCCTCGATCCGCGCCGAAGGACCCAGATCAGCCGACCAAGGCACGCCCACCACCGCCGCGCCGGTCACGCCGCCGCCACGAAGCCGCCGCCAGCAGGCTCCAGCTCGCCGCCGCGCTGCCACGCCCGCCGCCAGCGCCGCATCCCAGACGGCTGCCTCGACCTGCGCCGAAGGCCCCCGCCGAGGAGACAAGGCAGCCCCGCCGCCGCCGGCGCCTACCAGGCTTCGCCCGGCCGCCCTCTCTGGCAGCGGCGAGGGAGAGGAGGGAGGAGGAGGGGAAGCCCGCCGACGGCGCGGTTACTCCCGAGACGCACGCGCGGGGCGCGTCGCGGGAGCGAGAGGGAGCGGTGATCCCGGAACTTCGCCGATCCGGAGGTACTGTACGTGCCCGACTACCGATTCAGCTAGTTACGGGCTCCGTATTTGGTCGTTTGGATTGATTCGACCTAGCTAGCTCCGCCCGAATCGTTTTGGACGCCGGTAGCTCCGTATTTGGCCGTTTTATGCGTTGTCCGCCGGCTTCGTAGGAGCGAGCTAGCTGACCGTGGACACGGGGGAGAGGGAAAAAAGACGTGGAAGAAAATAACGAATATTCAATTTTACAATTTAAGTTTGAAGGGTCTGTTCGGATGTAGTTCAACCTTTAAAACACATTTTCCACGAATAAAAATCGTGTTTACAGTTCCGCAGTTTAAGGGTTCTGCTAGAGAGGTTTTTTCTTTTTTTTTGAAAAATATCGGCAATTTTATTAACTAGAAATGAATGTTACATTATCTATAAGAAGAGATACAATTTGTTCCATAGGTTCCTCAATCCAATCCCTTGTGACGGAACATTTTGCAAGACTAGCAAGTTCATGAGCTGCTTTATTCACTTCTCTATTAGAACGTTACGAGGCTTTTAGTTGAGCATGTTTTGTGAGACCCTACGAGGAGAGCAACGGTCCGCGGGTGATGACAATATTACTCGAGTGCTAACACCTCTACTAGCTAGGCGCCAACGCCATGGCCCTTGAGTCCAACTTCCGTGGCCCTGCAGACAGCTACGGGGCCGTGGAAACATGGCGTCCGCCTCGTGCGGTCTCATCTCGGCTGCCGCGCATGCCGCTGCCACTAGCGCCGAGTGGGCAACCGAGTAAGGCTGGCGGTGTGGCATGCGTAGGCGAACTGCGCCGAGCAGTCGCTGAGAGCAACTCGTCTCACAGCATCTGTAGCAGACCCGTATAAAACCACGACCCACAAAATATTCATTAAAATACAGATCGGCGTAGAAAATGTTGTCTGATCAGACCCCGCAAACGCGTCCGGTCCGTAAAAGTTTATGAGGCGCGGTATAATTCATATCTCAACCCGCAAAAATGCAGGTTTCCCGCTCGCCCCGTCGGCGCCCTGTATATAGCGGTAGTGGTTGGCGGGGCGGACATTTCAGCCCACGCTTTTTCCAGCCCACCGCCGCCCCTCTCCCCCACGCCCCGTTGTCGGGCCGCCGCCTACGATTCCGGCCAAACTAGCTTGCGGGATCACGCCGGAGGGCTGCCACACCCCCGAGCTTTCCCTCCGCCACTTCCTCCTGCATCGGCGGGCCGGAAACGAGCAGATCGGCGGTTGTTCGTCGCGGCGGCCGGATTTGGCATTTCCGGCCACCGGTGGCTGCGCCAAGTCATGGATTGGTCGGGGAGCACCCCGCGCTGCCCCGGCAAAGCCCCATCGCCGCATGAAGGTACTGGTTTGTCATGTAACCGCCGTCGTCAGTTTGTTGGCAAGGATTTGGCCGGCCATCCGCCGGGCTCGGCGCTCGCGCAGCAGCCTGCCAGCCCGCCGATGCCGCTCATACAGTGTGACGACTGCACGCTGACAGTGCTACGTATTTTTTGTGTGGGTTGGTGTTGGCTGTGTGCATCCTACCTATGCAGAGGCCGGGTGTGTGCTTATCGTGTTTGTATTCTCTTGATGCTTCATTTTGAGCTATTAAAATCCATCTTTTTTCAAAAGCACCCAGGATGGGTATTCTTCAAATGCGAAAACGACGATGTATGTTGTTGTTTTCATTCGGCTTTGTCACCCTATTCGGTTCAATTTCGATAGCTTATGGACATGGTCTTGTGTGTAGGAAGATGGATGCTCATTTTGGTTTTGGGAAGGAGAATACATTGATTTATTGATAGAAAAAAAACTTAATAGATGTTTGTGCACACCTTAGTAGAATTGAGGCTATAGATACGGCTGCATGTGCAATTAGAGAAGAAACTAGAGGGGAAGCAACATCTACTTCTTTAGAATCAAAGAAGAAGAATGTAGAATGCAAGATCAACAATCCATAGATCAACAACAAAGGCATGGAAAAGATATTCGTCCAACTAGTGGGAGAAGTTATGGAAGTTGGATATCTTCTAAAATGCATAATTGTGGTTCTTATTTTCTTTCGCCTTACTATTCTAGTTAAGATTTAATGAATTACTATGTATGCAATGCCGTTGAAGAAAATAAAAAAGCAAAGAAATGTGTTTTCATGTCTGAAATTGAAATGCAAATTACTGATTTGCGAGGCGGCGTGGGCGGCAGCCGAGCAGACCCCGCAAAGCAGACCCATAAAAGGATATTTACGGGTCCGCTTTGCGGTGTTAGAGTTTGAGCTATTCACGTCATGTAATCTCAACTATCTTCTCTCGTATTTGATTCTATCTTCTTCTCTCTGTAATGACCGGATCGGTCCTCTCTTCTCTTGTACTCCATGGCAAGGATTTCTGCCTGAATATATATACACACACGGCTCTCCTTCGGGAGAGTAGGAACGCTTCATCGATTCTAACATGGTATACAGAGCCTAGCCTCTTCCCATCATCTAGCGACCTCTTTATCCAGCAAACAGAAAATCAAACCCAATCATCGCCAGAAACCCAAATCCCATCGCCATGGTTGGTTCTAGCGTCGTCGCCTTCAACCTCGGAGCTCCTCCAACAAAAAAGCTTGCAAGAGGGAATTATTTTCTCTGGAAAGCGCAGGTGATGCGAGCGCTGCGAGGCGCGCAAGTAACCGACCTCCTCGATGGAATAGATGTCGTACCACAAAACACGATGGAGGTCGCGAAGGTGGATAAGACCACGACCTTGGAGCAAAATCCTCTGTATGGCCCGTGGCTAACGAAAGATCAACAGGTTCTAAGCTACCTGTTGAATTCGCACACCCCTGAAATCTTGGCGCAGGTCATTGGTAAGGAAAGTACTCATGATCTCTGGACTGCTCTTACCACACTATTTGCTGCGCAATCCCAATCCCAGATAACAAATCTGAG